TTCAGAAAAATGTCCCTAGGATATTATGCACAACTCAGAAGATCAATGTTTTAGTTTATTTTATGTGATGAAAGATCCTACATAAATATTATTTCGCTATATATTTCCATAAATTCGATATTCAAAGTGGCATTGAGTTTCAATTCTATTTTCGAAAATAAATAGGTAGGTATAGGTATAGGTATTCATATTATTTATCTTTAAATATACAAATATCCAGACACAAGCGGAGCGAGAATTCCACATGCGAATTTATAAACGTGTCTCACACACTATAATTTTCCACTATCATCCATCCCGTGATGGGAAATCGAGGAAGATCATTAAAAACACACATTAATTAGAAACAAAATATATACAGGGTAGCACTGAAATAAGTGCAAATATTTCAAATTCTGAGAAAGCTCGACGTACACTATCGAATTGCACCAATAAAAAAATATAGCGAGAGACCCCCTTTTTTCCCCAAAGTTCTACACTGTATAGCAATTCTGACGCACCACTGTTGAAACTTCTTAAAGTGGCGTCCTTGATTATTTTTTTAAATTTTTTGTTCAGTTTTCAGGATGACATTTTTAGTTAATTAAAAGAATCAGAAAATATCTGATATCAAGGGAATTTTCGTTAGAATTCATATTGATGTACTGAATATATGTTAACCTCGTATATTCCTCTTCTTCAACCATTTTTTCGAACAATATGTCATCGATTGATTTTTTTTTAAATTTGTAATAGTGTAATTTTCAACGAAGTGATATTTTGGGACAAAACATCTGATTTGTCTTCATTATACACGTATATTGAAATAATTCTCATATCCTTATTAATTGAAACGAGTATAGAAAATCCCAAAAATCTAGAGAAATGAATATTCCTCCTCCACGATTACCGTAGAGCTTTTTTCAACTTTTGGCGAAGGCACAATTCCTTCTGATGAGTTGGATCGATTTTTCTGAAAAACGGTTATGTAAATCGATGTCAAGAATATCAGAATAAAGTTGGAAGCATCTGATGCTGGATTCCAAAAAAGACTACTGTCAAAAAGTTTGAGATTTGCTAGTGTTTAAGCTGTCCTAGATCTCTTTCATACTAATCCAGTTTTCATGTGACCAAAATTGCATGTGAATCGGAAAAGTACAACACCTCCTATCATTTCAAATTGTATCATTCAATTGAAAGTTTGACATAATATGGATCGTATTGTGTTATGAAAAACTCATATTTTCATTTATAGAAACGAGAGGAAATCCGAAAAAAATTGTGTTCCACCTCCTCGATTAACCTACAGACAGAATTTAATCCCTTTTAGGTCATAATGTCGACAATTTCCTCTATTGTAATGAAATAGTATTAATTTTGTTGACACATCTGGACAATTGAGGCATCTCGAATGGCCAACGTGCCAGACTTGGACACCGAAAGGATATTAAAGACCACCATAAATAATGTATTTTACTGCTGTGATGTGTCGAGTGCTGCTTCCGAAAGCATTGTGCCACGGTGAGGCATTGTTCGGACCAATAAGAAGTCAGAGATCGTCTCGGATCTTAAATTCTGATTTATCTCCCGACTGACCTCCACACGCTCTACCAACAGAGACGTTACATGCATTTCCCATTTTCATAACATTATCCATGTTGTTTTTCTGGATAAAAAAAATAAGGTAGAACTTAATATGTACACTTTACGAATCGGAAACGAAGAGAGAGGCTACTGGACCGATAGTGGATAATTAGAATAGGTATTACTCCAGTGTCGTTATAGCATAAATTAATTTTTGCAACATTTCTTACGCGTTTTCGATGTAAATAAGACGTGGTTCGAAATTGCTGAATTTCAGAGCTGTTTCCTTATTGATCACAAAATCTTCCATTCCCAAATCCCACTCATGAAAGAAAGATGTCCAGGCACCAATTATAATCATGTTATTGAAAAGTTATTAGAGTTCTCTGTCGTTAACTAAAACTACTTCCAAATTAAATATTTCATTTGACCAAATAGGAGGAAGCCAAGGTATTATTTGTGACTTTTTCGGGCTGAATGCTCTGGTGTAAATTAATATATAACTATTATTCACACAAATTTACTATAACAAATCCGATGGATTTTTATGATACAATACATAATTGGGATGTTATAAATTATCAAATAAATCATATTTCTCAACTTCCCAATCGTATTCCAACATAATATGGCAAATTGCGCTCTAGTATGCCTCCACTCATGAAATCGTGACGTCATTTGCTTTTTGCGGTAAATTTTTAGCCGTTTGAGAATTATGCCGTGGTATTATTGATGATTTCAAGACCTCAATATCGACCGAAAAAATCTAAAAAAATATGAAATTGAAAGGTAGTTGAGTGATGATTCTATTCAAATAATAAAAAACGTTAGTCCACTTGCCGATTGTATTTTTGGAAATCTTCAAGAGATGAGTGCATATAATCAAAGCAAATAGTAATATTCATGATATTTACATATAACATTGTCCAATATGATGTAATGATAATTGGTATTACCTACATTTTCGATATGCGGATAAAGCTAATCCTTTGGGAGAGTTTGTTCGACAACGAGATTAATCTATTGACGGATAGTATAAAACGTAATAATTTTATGCATTGAATTTTGCTTATTTGCAAAACGTTTATTCTATCGAAAGTCAATCAGGATTGAACTTAATTGACAGTATTTTTGATACAAATGCGAAATGTCAGGGGTGAACAAATTGAAAACCATTCGATTGGTCGCCATCCAATGAATAAATAAAATATCCCATATTATTCGAATTTTATGTAGCCATTCGTGTGATAACAAACTGAATGATAAATCAATATATAGAAGTATCGTGAACCCAGATATTTTTGTTTTGATGTTTCGAGGATATATATACGAAGTGTCCAGGTAGTAGTATGTATGTTTGAGCTTCAGGAATTATTTGAAGAATAATGTAGTGGGTACTTCCCACGTGAACGTGAAAAAATTCATGCTGTAATTCGCTACTAACAAATCATCAGATCAAATGATTGGCTAGAATTACGCATCGATATTGATTAGAAACAATGAAAACGTCAGATTTTGACATGTAAAAAAATAAGCATCACAATTTTTTCAGTTGATATCAAGTAATTCCAATATACTATTTTCTAATATAATGACTAAGTAAGACAGTGGCATAATCTATCACCTGAATAACTGAATGATACATATTCCCGGCAACCAATTTACTGCTTCCTGGGATGAAAAGGAATGAGATCAAGTGTATTATGTGCTCAGTCAATCATTTCCGGAATGGCACTTTTATATTATATGTCTGAAGATTTTTCTGAACAAAATTGGGTAATAAAAAAAGGAAATGGTCCGACTATATTCAACCGGCCATAAAAATGTAGAACATCGACGAAAGTCGTGATAAAGATAAGAAAAATATGAATCGGGGTCACCGAAAATGAGCTCAGTTTTTCTTCGTGATGGAGTTCCTTGATGAAGCATAAAAAAATTAACATTTATTCTCCACGTCCATTGATTCTCAAACTTCCTTCGCCCATTAACTTTCTTGGATTTTACGTTTCCTGTGAACTTGATAAATGTATTCATCTATTCAAAACGAACTAATTCCATTCAAATTTGACACACACATTCATTTTCCAAAGAGCACATTGTCAATTGTATTTCGTGTTTTCATACAGTAACATTGATGCCAGTTCTGTGCCTAAATGTTCAAAGCCATACTTGAACCTTTTCTGCGAATGTTCGTAGAGAAGTGGTTTCCAAATACACTTTTCATATTTTCCTTGCGAGCGCATTCCTCAAACCCTCCCGAGCGAAGTGGAAAGTAATCGAAGATTTTCGTGCAAAGGCAAGCAAGATGGTACTCCACGCTGTCTCTTTGTAACGAGAAGTAACTAAAATTCTTTCTCTCAAAGAAATAGAGATGCTCCTACTCACGGAATAGATGTATAAATTGTGGGTTGAATGAGATATATTCATATATACAGGGTGTATCTGAATAACACCGAAAAACTTCAAGCGGTGTTTCCTTGTGATATTCTAGCAAATAAAGTTCATATAAACATGCGTCCTAACTTACTCCGTTTTTGAGAATTTGAGATTCAGGATGTTGACTTGGAAGTATTAATTGTTTTCATTTATACCCCCCTGTATAGGATTTCATGGTGCCATGATTCAGTCTTGAAAACACCTACATTGAACACTACACTGTTTTACCACTAACCAAACCGATTTTTTAAACGCCTCGACACGTGTTTCGCTAACTGTGTTAGCATCTTCAGGAGGAGATTAAAACTGAGTTTAATAGTGTAACATCTCGAGAATCGTAGTTTCGAGAAAATCGCAATTGAAAATTCAAGTCAAAATAGTTTGAATCTAAATGTGTAGATTATGTCTCAAGAATATAAAATAATAGGCCTGCCAAAGTAGTGCTATATTCACTTCCTAAAATCAACAAATTCAGAAAAAAAAACTGTTGGTGAACCATTATTTTGTTCGGACTTGTTACACTATTGATCTGAATTATATAATTGATAATATGAAGCTCTGTGATCCAAAATCAACATTATTATTGAAGAAGTGAGTACAATAACTACAATCACTACAGAAACAATGATAAAACATAGTAATATAATTTGAGTGTTGAAATTGAGCTATGCAATGTTACACCTCTGAATCACTGAACATATTTCACAGTTCAAAAACTGTAACAAGTCTTGATTCTTGTATCGAGTTATCACAGTATGGGAATTATATGAAAATGGAGTTTTCTTCAGTTCAATAGAGTAACTAGCAGCATCTTTTGGTCGGTACTGGAACTCTTAGTTTTTACAGTATAGCATGTGAAAGCTAACAACATAATGAATCAAATAGCGTATTCAACTCAAAATGGTTATTTTTCGAGTTGTTACACTATCGAACTCGGGTATCGCTTTGACTTCCCAATATTTTTGTGATTGATATTATTTTTATTTCTATTTGTTTTTCAGAATGGAGGTGCCAAAGATGGATTAGACATGAATCTTGCGCCTGCTTGGCAGAAAGGATACACCGGCAAAGGTGTAGTAGTTTCAATCTTAGACGACGGTATCCAGACTAATCATCCTGACCTTGCACAAAACTATGTGAGTGAAAATATTGTTTTATCACCAGAAATTGTGTTTTCCTCAACTACTCAAGTAATTTTGAGAAGTAAACCTATGAAAAAATATTCGGTACCAAAAGGCGTATCTGACGAAAATTGCCAAAATGGTGATACTGATTATTTTTTCATGAAAATGTAATTATATATCCTCAGTGCAGGGCAAAAGTTCCAAAACAAAGTCGATTATGGTATAACTATCGCTCAATCAATGTTAGATCGTACCGCAGAATCTTCAGACTGCTCTCCTGAAAAAGTCGAAAATATCATTTACGCCCTTTGGTAACGGGAGTGACGAAATGTGCATTACTTCAGAAATCGACTGCTAACTACAACTCTGAATGCGACTCGTAATAATATAAACTTGAAATGTCCATGACGTTGATATATCGTCTATAGAGAATAATCTGCAAAAGGCCAATAACATGTTCAACAGTCCGTGCGGATGTAGAGCGTACTGCTCCATTTCCATATCGAAGCAGTTTCCACTATAGTTTCTAGACGTCCTAATATTATTTCAGCAACATTTTCGAGAGCTATGTGTCGGAAATAATGTATGCTAATGCACTGCCATAACCGCATCATCACAAAGTGGTAAACATTCAGCATGTATCCAGATCGATAGAGAATGCCAACATAACGAACGGCCACAAATTTTAGTCACAACATTGTAGATTATCTCTCTAGAACCGTATAGTTCATTGATTATAATCATAACAATAATCGTAAATTATCAATCTACATCATTTCAATTAAAATTATTATTTAAAATATCTCGTTCACTTTCGAAGATATTAGTTTGTTTGGTGTGGGTAATATTTTCTAGGAAATAATCATTCAAGGCATTTTGAGGTGATACGTTAATGGAGGTAGAGGCTTCTTCATCTCCCCCAAACTTTTTCGTAGTACGCAACTAACATTTTTCAGTTACGAAATAGGGTGGATCATTCAATTTAGTAGCTTTTTTTTTCGAGATGAATGAGCATATCTATATTTTTTTCTTGAATTCCATTCTCATACAAAATCAGTTAAAAGAGATTGAGATAATCAGATTCAGCAAGAAAATTCTTCCCGACAAGTTGAATGCTATATTGTTTTTATTTTACCAAATGATATTGAAAAAATATTGGATGAGAAATATGGATCTGAGTAGATGGGGCTTATAAAGTGGCTCAACCCAAATTTTTCGCATCGTCGTTGGATTCATCGGTTGAAAGCAATCTGACTTTCTATCCTCGGTATCCCTGCTATACTCATTCGGATTGGGCACATTGCAATTTTTGTACATTTTATTGCATTAAGGGAGAGATGAAAAAAAGTCCTTGACTTGAACGATCCACCCTATTTGGAAACTGTAAGATGTGAGAGACTTACTAGCATCAACCCACAAAAACGTATTCCCCTGCATATTTTAACAATCTTTGAGATTCTTCAAATGGTTATCTTGTAGCAAGTATTGATCACACAAAATTTCGAATGAATAACTAGAAGTGAGCGAGCTTTTTCGGAAGGAGATCGGACACATATTTATACAAACTTTTTTGATTGGAATGATGAGATCTGTCACCAATTTCAGTTTGTACCTTGAAACCTGAATAACCCTGTATATGCGTGGAAGTATCGTTGCCAATATACTAGGAGTCGAAGTTCGAGGTTTTTTCAATGATTTTTAAGTATTCTCCTACAATTTTCAAAATAATGAATTGAAATTTGATGCAACTATTACACATGAAAAACTCAGTATTTAGGGCTATTAGGCGATTTTGATTAACTACAGGATGGTACACTTTCGGGGGTTCTACCCAATTTAAAACTCTCTAGAACTCTTCTGCTTGCTGCCTCTGCTTTCAATCCAGACTCACTGTTCAACTGTTATATGTTTTCGAAAACTGTATGGATTTCGAGATAAATGCAAAAAATAATTTTCTTGTGATAAAACTTCATTTTTCGAACACACTCTATGCATATATGTTAACATAAGCTTTTCATCTCAAACTTGAAACAGTATCTTCTTCAAGCTGTTGAAATCTTGCTACAAAAAACTGACTTACCCTGTATAAACGTAGATTATTCCTCTGTACTAATATCAAATACAGAAAAATTTTGTGAACGGAAATTGATTTTCAGTCGAAATTACAGTTGTTAGTTAGTAGGTTAGTTTTAATTCATCAGATTGTCAAGAAGTGAGTAATAAAAATGTTACTGTGAACGGGGGCTGAATGATTTTCTATAGAATTCGCACAAACATTTTTGAGAGAAAAAATGTGTATGCGAAAAATGTTCAAATCGGTCCCCAGACACTCAAAACGTTCAAAACTGTCCCGCAGTTCTATCTTTGATCACTTCACCGCCACTCACTGTGATATTCAACAAGCATGCTTTGATGTGAAAAAGATAAAACTTCAGAAAGACATCATGAAATTTCGTTGGGTCATCAGCCACTCCAGCCTATAGCAGTCTCCCAAATTAAGTTAATACTATTAAAGGATCCTCAAAGAGCAGGCACCCTTTTTTCGGACGAATTAATTAGCTGAAAAGACGAGTAGGGACACGAAAGAGTTTACGCTTTTGATAAAAATTAGAAAGGTCGTGACGAAATGCAGAAAAAGTAATTAGTGTAGTCAAATAATGTAATTTCAGGAGAGCGTACAATTAATGTTGATTTTGATAACGCTTCAGATGATAAAAGAGGCAGATAGGGTGAGATTTTTATAATGATGTTTCCATTGGGGATCATCAATTTGAGAGGGTTGTCAAAGGAGTTATTTAGTAGAATGGAAATGGTACTGGGCACCTGAGTATCATAGCAACTAAAAGAAGCTACTATACTATGAAAGATGACTTCAAACCAGAATATTCTTGATGATCATCCTGGGGGCGATAAGAAAACAGTATATTACATAACTAGTGTTTTGTATTTCATTTTGCGTACGAAGCTGCTCTAGCGTGTATAACTCCACGAGTGCGTAATTGCTATACAACTCGAATTGTTTGTACTGTACTTTTTTTCTTGGATTCAGTATTTTCAATACGTATTTCACAATATTTCCGCAGATGAAAAAAAGCATTTGAAGGGTGTCCGAAAATCTCATGTCGTAAATAATAGGGCTGATGGAGTGAGCGAATATAATGTTAGTACTTCATATCAAAAAATGTTTATTGCATTTCGTCACGGAATATTGTCCTTTGAAGTTTCTGCCGATACATATGCATACTCATCATTATTAAACTTATCTATGGTTTAACCAAAGTATCAAATATTGTCAAAACAATTTGATGTCAACCATGACAATGAATGCAACTAACATGATGTTATTGAATGAATAGAGATTTTATTACCTATCTTTGAAGCAGTTGGAATTTATGTTTTCAAAATGTCATTTCCTCTGAAATGGTACAAGATATCGATACACTATTTTTGTAGAAAAATTATGAAGGAATCAACGGTGGAAGCAGAACGTCAAATTTGTCACCTGGTAACTGAACAGCCGTTTACATATAGAAAAAAGCATTAGTATGAGTTGATTCAGATGCCCAAATATCATTGATACCATGGCAACCGTTTAAGAGTTATACTTTCAAGATCAATAACTCCGTAACGAAGTGCGATCGAGTAAATGAAGTACTGACATCATTTTGGCTCACCCTATCAGCCCTATAATCTACATCACCTTACCGGACACCCTGTATAGATCATAGCGCCTATTTCCTTCCATCTCCTGCGGTATATTCACTAAAAATTAAGAACAAGTACTCATGAATGAATTGAGCAACAAAAGAAGTCGACAGTCCCCATAGAAGATGCCAATAATCAGTTTATTACGGTTACAGTGTGGAAATTGCATTATCATCCTCGATGGAAATTCCGTTCCATCCGACACTTTCCTTTCGTGAAATTAGGGTCATCGCACCCTCCCCCCCCCCCTTCCCGTTTTATGACCTCGAAGGGATCGTTGGGAATGCCCTTTCGGACTAAGAAGACGACCACGAAAATGGTTTTATGCATGAAGAAATAGGGTTTCTTGATACTTCACGCGTATGTTATCCCAGGAGGATTAGATGATATGGGTTGGGGGCGCGACAAAAATGTCGCATTTCATATTTCTCCCAAAACACGAACCATATTACGGTGTCATCGTAACATTTGATATCTTATGTTCTTGTAGAGGTGGATGGAGGATCGATTCGGAAATAGGTTCGCGAAGAGTATATTTACACATTCAAAATATACGACGCACGTAGAGATACCACAACAAAACACTCTGCTCCTTTATCATATCAAATATAACACTATCATTCATGGTACAGTGTCTTTCAAAAGTCTGGGAGCGTTCAAGGATTATACGACTACAGAGGGGTAGTTTATTCTCGGAAGACACAATGTTAGGTGAGCTATCGTTGACATTGTTTACATGTAAAAGGTGGTGAATTAGCAGTGTTCTGGCAAATATTATTTCGATTATTACAACATACTGTGGTGTTCTGGTAGTTAATTTTTGTTCGTTTACTAAAATTCATCAGATACAATACAGAAGCCGAATTGACCCACAAGTGACCAACCAACCTTGTTTTTAGGGTGATAAAATGTTTGACGTTCATAACGTCAATCATGTTGAAAGCCAGAATGATGGATGCACTGCGAAATTCTCACGAGGCGCTCTTTTATTGTCTCAATCATGAAATTTTCATACGAATACAACTCGTGATACTATTTTTCCTGGAAATATTCGTCGATTGACATAGTATCACTTGTGGTATTTCATATGGATGGATTTTTTTCAGGATCCTTTGGCTAGTACTGATATCAATGGTAACGATGACGATCCAATGCCCCAAGACAATGGTGATAATAAACATGGTACCAGGTGTGCTGGAGAAGTGGCAGCAGTAGCATACAATCAATTTTGTGGAATAGGGGTAGCTTACAACGCCAGTATCGGTGGTAAGTGCTAAACCTGTATAACTTCCCAACTAATCATAATTTCCTCGCCTATTTCTTCATAAATGATTTATAGGGATCAAAAATTGTCAATTATTCCGCATATTCAGTTGCGGTTAGTGGTCTTGCAATAATCGGTTATTTTGATGGAATATGTTGCTTCTCCCATGAGGAATTATTGTAACGTACCTAAATGAATCAACATGGAACTTTCCGGAGCTGTATTCTGATCCCATAAATCATGAAATAAAAATTATGTCTCTACATAACGACAGATTTTGATATATGGTCCGTTTGGTATCATTTCGAACTGTCGAAATGCCAGAATCATCCCATTACTCGTTTGATGAATAATTGATAGCATCACTCGATATCATCCACACTGTCCCTTAGCGGGGGAGAATGTCGGGATTCTTTTTTCGTTTCAGGATCAGTCCAATTAATTCTACACATCTTTCACGCTTCCCCATATTTCCGATTTGAATAGAACAGAATTTGTCGCTCCTTTCTTGGAGCACGTTGTGCCAAATAACCCATACATTTGGTGATATTGTCCGTGTAGTATAAAGAAAAATACTCGCTCATGCGAATTTTGATATTTGCACTATAAAGAGCTCGTATCCTGTGAAATTACTCAATATACTCGGCAAAAATGATTTCCTGGAGCTTTATTCCATCACATCTCCAGAAACCAATATTATATTCTCGCTACATATCATCAGAAAATATGGTATCGGGGTAAGATTTTTTGCATATTCATAGTCAAATTATTTGAAAGTCGACTGAGACGAGAAAGACTAATTTGATTTGGAACTTGCAGATGTTGATTTTTTATACATACACGGTCCTAGAATAACGATCGTATACTCCGGGCGATAATTCTGCAGATAAAAATAAGAGAACTGTGTCCGAGAATGCTTCCTAAGGGCGCTAGATTCCTTTGAAGGTAGTTCCTTAAATATAAAAATGTAATCTTGAAACAGATATTATTAGATATATTTCATTTTCTCTTCCAGATGGATGAATTCGGAAAATTTAGCCGTCGTTAGTTAAAATAGCAGCTTCCTCAATTTTTTCCAAATTTACCAGTTTATCCTTCTAAACCTACACATCATCAAGAACAAATCCCGATGGAAGACGTCAGAAATGTTCAGCTGTTCAAAATAAAAATAAATATAGTTGATTCTGAAAAATCCGACCTTATTTTCAATTACGAGCAGCTAGTTGGGGAATATGCAGAAAAATTGAAAATCAATAGTCGTTGGAATTGGAAAGTTCATAAGACAGAGATTAAAATTTATTTTTATCAATTAGGTTACCAGTCAGTCAGTCAGACGTATTGACTTCCCAAGTTGTAGTGTTGAATGAGATGCAGGTCCAAGTTTACTATGTGATAATAAGTTGGGATTCAATGATTTAAAATGGATTCTTCCTCACCTAGGTGAGATCTTGTCTCGCAATTCGTGAACTTGAATGGTCGATGTAAAATGGGACTTGCCAGTTATTTATTCAATCTAAGAAACTGAATAAAACCGAACCTGTGACCTGACCCATTATTCCTTGCTATTTTTTTCATCAAAGTCAAATTATTTCGAAGACAGGAACCAACGTTACGTTAGCTCGGTTAGCGGTAATGTTCCATTGTTCGTCTATGTCACCGTGGTTGCCAGTCGAGAGTAGGCCTTTCGGATCACGGCGATGCGGTGTTGCATTTCTCTCACCATGGCTTGTAATTTAACCGGCTGTGCTGATACTCTTCAGAATTATTCAATTATTGTAGGTTCGTACTCAATTTTCGTATGAGATCATCAATCATATCGTTGATATTAAATATCTGTAGAAAATGAGTGGGTGTTGCTAGTAAATTAATTCCGTTCATCTGCATTCATTTTCGTTGCGAATCGTACACAGTTGCTTTTGATATTCCATGAAAGGGGGTATACGTCTGGAAATTCAAACGCCACACATGTCTACCGAATAATTTCGACAGAACGGTTGATTGATATTTATGTCGGAAGGGCGGATATGTGCAGTGCACAGTACACAGGCGCATGATGGATGGATAGATAGATATGTGCGGATATGGGCGACAGATATGGTGAATATCTTCGCAACGAGGATCGTATCTCGGTAATGGCGGAAATCTGATTGTGCAGTTCGAGCTTGGATGGAGAGCATTGTAATGACATCACTATTCTCTGTGTGAAGTTTGTCGTGAACACTGCGAGGACTATATGGAGATATCGAACTCCTTGCCGTACCTTATCATGTGCAATTTATTTCATGTTGGTGCTATAGGTTTTGCCGGGTTTTCCTGGGTTTTCCTACAGTTTTGAAAAGCAAATACAAATCAAATAATTTCAAATTCCATTTTTGCTTTGTATTATTATTATTATAGTTGTGAGCACATATATAGGAATATTCCCACATTAGATAAGTACTTATGACTTGTACTATACAAATTGTAAATTTGTCTCTGGTATAAAATAAATTCACTTTTATTCTATTGTTATCTTTATATTATCTTGACGAGAAGGTGTTTCACCATATCCTGTACTATAGAGAACAATATTTGAAATCCAAATTATTGTTTAGTTGTATATTCAGAATGTTGCATTGGCCATCAGATCAAAATTAATTTCCGTGCAACAAATGATTCGCAGCTTTATCTAGGGCTACTCGCCCGAACAAAAAATAACAAAAAACAGGATAAAAATGCCGACACGTTTCGTGAAAACAGCGCTTCCTCTAGCAACACTTAATTTTCGGCAAATGGACACTACGGTCATAATGGCTCCTTGTTATGAAAATAAATCTTTTTTATCGTACATACACGCAGACAGACCGAAACGGTATCATAAACACAAAAACGACCGCATTCGGTGGACTACGCGGGATCCCTGCAATATGTTAACCGTATTTAGTGCTATCTCTTCTCATTTTTTATACTGCCAGTTTTCACTAATCGATCTAACTCATCCTTGCTTTATCACGATTTCTCTCCCTCTTCTGAATTCGTTAGTGAAACATGTATCACATATACATATGTATTAAAAATATCCTATCAGTATGTTCCTTCTAGGGAAATGTGAAACAAGAAACCTGCGGATAATACATTAGGTTCTAGTCATGTTATCGCCATCTATTGGCATAGTTCTAAGGTAGAATCGCGTGATCACGTCATACACTGTATGACGCTGCCATCTACATAAAGTCAACACGTAAAGACCCTTACGTCTACAACGTTACAGAGTGTTACTACAAGTAATAAACTTTGCTGATAGATGGCACTACCTTACTACTTGAGTGGTATGATCTCGGGTATGATCTACCAGTCCAATTCATTGAACTCAGTTATGAGATCTAGTTCAACAAGGAACAAGAAGCCTCTCAGGTGGTCTACAAAGTTCAGACACAGCCAGAAGTAGTCCCAAGAACTTATATCCTCCAGAATTACTAAAAAATCACATACCTCGTCTACCTTTCCTCCCTAGGTACGCACGATGTTCCAGGAATATTATAGACATTGCCTTTCGTGCGCTCCAAGAGATAAAAAAAATAATTTCCTGAAAATTCCTCGAACTTCCGCGAATTTCTCCAAACTTCTTCGAATTTCCGAAACTCCTCCAATTTTCTAAGCTTCCTCGAAGTCTGAATTACGTGATTTTCTAGATCGTCTACGAGAGGCTATAAGTGCACCAGACTGACTAAAATAGTTATTTTTGTATCTAGAGCGGAAATGCTACTTTGGTGATCGAGATCTGGTTTTTTTAACGAGGCGTAGCCGAGTTAAAAAAATTGTCGAGATGACCAAAGTATTTCGCACTCGAGTTGCAAACAAATTTTTTTCTACAAACGTCAAAAATATAGTTCTAAAGTAAAAATATGCTTAGCTTGATATGAACAATAGTGTTGAACTGGCTTGAAAGGCCTACCCCTATCCTCCCTAGGTACGCACGATGTTCCACGAACATAATAGGCATTTCCTTTCGTGCGCCCCAAGAGATAAAACAGAGTTATTGTTGATTATTCAGAAATGAATGATTTCGTGGATGTTTGCTCGATTGAGGATTATAAAGTTGAAATATAAATATCTCATATATTTTACTTAACAATGCGCGAAGTAGGTACTTCGCGCACTGTTTTACTTCGCGCATTGTTATGTACAAGGTATCATGGTAACGTAGGAAACTGAAAAAAGTGTCACTTCGCAATTTGTTATCAATGCGCGAACCTTGTCATTTTTGACGTTTGTAGAAAAATAGCGTTTTCCACTCACCGATTTACAGAGGGCACTAGGAAAGAGCAAGTACAAGTGGCACTGGCTCGGTTTTTCTATATATTGCGGTTCCAGCACAGAGCTGTGGAATAGAAATCGAGAGCCGGTGCGACCTTTGGGTGCTCGTCAAAATTGTATTGTCAATCAAATCAAAGTTAAATTATTGATAGTAGATTTGGTTTCGCTGGTTCATATGAAATTGATCCATCTATTTCTTGAGGTTTCTCTGTGAAAACACTGCCAGCAACAGCCTTATATGAATGAAGATGTTTTGTTCTTTGTCAATGAAGTGTTGTTTACGAAGTTAGTATCTTTCATCATTACTGAATCAACAATTAAATGTTTTTTATACCTGCACATCTGTCATGAATATCTTCTCATAAATCTGTCTTTCATTGTTTACTTAATCGTGTTACCGTACAGCAATGTTCGGCTACACAATTTCGTGAACAATGAAGCGACAGAACATCGTGACAATACTTATGATCATAACTTCAATGAGAAATTCATAATCATTCGAATTTCGAATATTTTTCCAATCGAATATTCAAGGTTGTGTGTATCGCACCATCGTACAAGCACGGTTCTGACAACTCGAACTTCGAGCGGCCATCGAGCAAGTCTGAAAGCCAGTGGAAATCATTTCTCGACGAGTGGAAAACGCTACTGTGAGATCGTGCAATTTGTCGTTTATTACAGGCGTCCGGATGCTGGACGGTGTCGTCAACGACGCCGTCGAAGCCCGCGCGCTGGGCCTCAACCCCGAGCACATCGACATCTACAGCGCCTCCTGGGGCCCGGAGGACGACGGCAAGACCGTAGACGGGCCCGGCCCGCTGGCCAGACGGGCCTTCATCTACGGCGTGACCAGTGGCCGCAAGGGCAAGGGCTCCATCTTCGTGTGGGCCTCGGGCAATGGCGGCCGGCACACGGACTCGTGCAACTGCGATGGATACACCAACAGCATCTTCACGCTGAGCATATCCAGTGCGACGCAAGGCGGGTACAAGCCGTGGTACCTCGAGGAGTGTTCTTCCACGCTGGCCACCACGTACAGTTCGGGTACTCCCGGGCATGACAAGAGCGTGGCTACTGTCGATATGGATGCTAGGTACGAACTATGAACCGATACATGGTGTCCGGAGAGGTCATGTTGTCGTTAATCATTGGGCTGATATAGTGAGCCAAAATAATGTTAGTACTTCATTATCGCACTTCGTTACGGAGCTATTGACCTTGAAAGTTTCTGCAAGTCCATGCATATGCATTCTCATCATTTCCTAACTCATCCATGGTGTTAGCAAAGTATTGAATACTGTCAAAATAATTAGATGTCAATTATGACAATGCTCGCAACTACCATAATGTTATTGAATAAATAGAGTTCTTATTACCTTTGAAACGGGTATGATGTATGTTTTTGAACTGAGATTTTCTCTAGAACGATAAAAGATGTCGAATAAAATGAAGTATACTATTTTTGTAAAAAAAAAAAAGATAGAAGAATCACACAGTGGAAGCAAAATGTCAAACTTGCCACCTCTGTCAAAAATGCCTCCATTAAGCGGAAAAAATTCGTCTCATCCTGTATAAAACATAATCACTGAACAGCCGTTTACATATCGAAAGGAGCATTAGTATCAGCTAATTTTTAGTTGCCCAAATATCATTGATACCATGGCAACCGTTTGAAAGTTTTACAATTCTTTTTATTCAAATTTTCAAGGTCAATAACTCCTTGAAGAAGTGCGATAGACATTTTCCTTATATGAAATACTGACATTATTTGGGTTCACACCATCATTTACGACATGACCTCTCCTGTAGATAGGGTGTCTAGGGATGAAACCGACAAAACTTACAGGTCTTCTACTTATCATTAGGTGTGTTCGTTTGTGTTGCTGAACTTGCTAAACTTGATTTTGTTCCCACATTTGTCTCTGTTCATGGCATAATTACAGTATGAACCCTCACTTAGGGTCTGTACTGTGGCATGATGAAAACAGAGAAATTTTTTCACTGTTGTCATCATTTTCACTTTTCATTTCCACAGACACAGAACTATAACATAATCTATACGTAAAATAGTAGTCAAATCCGTCTATGGAAAGCAAGGACCATAATCTTGCGAAAGAGAGAGAATTATACAAAATTGTGAGTTTTGTGTGGCCATGTTCAAGAGATAAGGCAACGAGTTATGGGTGGTGATGAAAAGTGGTACATTTTCTTCATTTGGGTTGGTACAATTGCAAAAAAGTTCTGGCAACACAGGACATGCAGACCCCAAGTATGATATATTGATGAAATAAGCCCTCCAAGGAGAATCATAAAATGCAATAAAATCTTAAAATGCAATAAAATATAAGATGTCCCTGTAGATCGTTTGTTCCGAGCACCCTCTATTTTCTGATGTAGCAGATAAAAAAAACTTCCGCGGTTCAGAAATAAGTGAGCTAAATAGGGGGCATCAATGGTGAATGACCCTGTTCTCCTGTCCATACAGGTTGAGGCCGGATCACATCTGCACCGTCGAACATACCGGCACCTCGGCTTCTGCGCCACTGGCCGCCGGGATATGCGCTTTGGCGTTGGAAGCCAATCCCACGTTGACTTGGCGGGACATGCAGTACTTGGTGGTGCTGACCTCGAGACCGGGACCATTGGAGAAGGAGAACGGCTGGATAGTCACGGGAGTGCGGAGGAAGGTGTCCCACAAGTTCGGGTACGGGCTCATGGACGCCGGAGCTTTGGTTACTTTGGCGGAGAAATGGACGACTGTGCCACCGCAACACATATGCAAGAGCCAGGAGGTGATCGAAGACAGGCAGATCAATCCGGCCTACGGTGAGCAGTAGGGATAATAGTCCAATGAAATGATATTTGCACGTGGAAAAAATCAAGTAGTCGGTTTCTATGCGGTTTTATTAGACCATGGTCGATAAGTTTTGTAAGCGAAAAAAATCATAGAAAAATGAAACATATTGGAAAGGGCCATCTGTGGTCGGGAAGTGGAAGGGAGTGAGCTTTCAAGATCAAGAAACGGAGAATACCGATTTCCGGCAAAACTACAATTCCATCAATGAAGAAAAATTTAATAGCACAGTATTAGATTATGAAAAGGTCAATAACTTTCGTCTTCACACTTTCCCACATAACCTCGAAATCTATGTGGAAAATTCAAATAACTATAACTGTTTGTCCCATCAATCTTATTAATATTTTCTCTCAGTCCCTTTTTTTCAAAAACCCTTCAATTTATGGTGTGAAATAATACTTTTTCGCAATTACCCTTCATATACCATTTTGGTGTATGAAATTTCGATAAGATGAATTGTATGCACTCTCAGGGCACGGGGCCCTTCATTTATTGAGAACTCTTTTTATCATTTATAAACTGGATTTTTCGACTAAAGGCATTGACAACAATTCCACAACTAGTAGCATCACATTTTTTCAACTCCAAGTAAGTCAAGAACAAATTATGTAATTCTTTCACATCAAACTTTTTGTATTGTAGAACTTTCAATTAGGCTGAAGATGGCATTTTATAAGACCGAAACATGTCCCTTCTGATTGTGTTACACCATTAAAATTTGTGGAAATGACTTCGAGCATTTCTTCCTTTATTTGAAAAATTTCACTCCACTATAGCAATATGGACTTCTACCAAAGATCAAATAACTAAGTTTTTTAATGGAATTTTTCTCCACGAAATCTAGTGAAAACTCATCTTCTTATGTCCCAAATACACTGTGATCTTTTTGATTTGAAAATTTCATTTTCTCACCTCATTTTGACTTATAATATCGAAAAAGCACCTTAATTTTCAATCGAAAATTCTCGCGTCAAAATATCTGCTTCTTCAAAAAAGTAGGTGGCGATTTTGTTCACCATGATTTCTTCTTTCTGATAGTGTAAAAAACATATACCTTATTGTGTAGTAAATGTTCTCAAATAATGTAAAGAAACAAAAAAGCAGCTGTACCATGTTTTAGAAGAAATCCTGTTTAAATCCCATCTTTATTATTTAGATCAATTATTTTCGCATGTTTTTTGCAATATTATTAATATAAACTATTTTTGTTCATCAATGTTACATGGAATCTCATGTTTTTCGAGTAATCAATATTAATTTCAATGAATAGCTCGAAATAATTGTAGTTAAGAATTAACAATAGCAGATAGCAGTTGTGGCCAAAAATTGCCATCAATTATACTTCGAAAAAAGAATGAATTTCAAAATTACATTTCAATTTTAAGCAAACACCAGCCGTAGGATAAACTAACATTTGACTGGTACGCTGGATTCCTCTTTCCACCAGCTTTCCAATGGGAGGGTCAGAAGCTCTATATAGGGTTATATTTGAAAAAATCATATTGAGGGTGGTTTCAGCTACTAATGGAGGGATATATTTTCGATATTGCTTGCAAAAGGTAGGTAAATACATCAAATTGTTGACGTATGCCGGGAATTTTCAGAAAAAATATTCATCTCACTAACGAATTTATTCCAGTTAAAGTCTCCACACTGTATATCTCTTGTAGAAAAAAGTGCGAAAATTTCGCTGTTCTTTGCGAATATCTCGGAACGCTCCAGGAAATTTTGTTTGCAAACTTCAGATTCAGATTGAGCACCCCCAAAAACATATAAGACCGCAGAGAAACCGACTATACTGGAATTTTTTCCACGAGAGGATCTTCATCGTTACCGTTTGACTGAGCTATAATGGATTGTTCATTTCTCTGATGATTTTGTTTCAGGTACGACCCTCGACTTTTATATGGACGTGGACGCGTGTGCCGGGACCCTAAACGACGTCCGTTTCCTAGAGCACGTTCAATGCAAAATTTCCTTACGATTCTTTCCCAGAGGCAACCTCCGCATTCTATTAACTTCCCCTATGGGCACGACTTCCACCCTACTCTTCGAAAGACCCAGAGACGTGATCAATTCCAACTTCGACGATTGGCCCTTTTTGAGCGTACACTTTTGGGGAGAAAAGGCAGAGGGCCGTTGGCATCTACAGGTAGTCAACGGTGGCAATCGCCACGTCAATCAACCAGGCATTCTCAAGAAATGGCAAATCATTTTCTACGGTACCTCGGTGAATCCAGTGCGGCTCAGACCGACCAACGGTGCCAGATCGACTCCATGGAAGTCGCCTTTGAACACGTTCGCCTTCCCTACGCAATCTCAACCCATCACACCTGTCCCCGACAACTTCTTCGACGACGAAGTCATTCGCAACTTCCAGAACTTCCCCAACATTTATTCGTTCGCCGGTTCGAACCAGGAACCGGTGATCGCCTCGTTGGATGGTAAGAGTACCAAGGTGCGAGATAACGACGAGAACTACATCGAGGACGACGAGGAGAGGAAAGAGGGGTGCGACGAACAATGCGACGATCAGGGTTGTTTCGGAAAAGGGCCTGCGAAGTGTGTTGCATGCCGGTACAAACGGATGGACAGGTGAGCTACCTTCTAACTCATCATGATTTTCTTTTCAAGAATACAATATCGACTTGGTTGAACCATTGTCGATCTAAATGGAAAGCTAGTTTGCTGGTTAGTAGGTGGGAGGTATCTGTTTCAGGTTGAATTTGTCTCCGCTTCTTTTTCATAAAGTACTCAACCAGTCAACCACAGATATTGATAAAAGAGGAGAATATTTTTAACAATTGGTTCCTTTAGATAACACTATCTGAATTGAGATTCAGTATACTCAATTTGGATCAATGAAGATTCCATTTACTGATTTCTGATTTGGAATACTCTGATTTGATCAGTTTTCAGTCACTATTGAGTGAAAAGCAAACACACTAACATTGTCTTGCACTGATGTGAAAGGAATCAACTGCGATATGGATTTGACTATTCAACTATGCAGAATAGGTATATTGATTTATCTAATCGTCAAGGTAATCGGATATGAATCATTACTATATACAATCCAATGAATAAGAATTCCACCATCCAAATGAATATTTGATACAACTAACAATCATCAGCCATGTTGTTGAAAGCCATCATGCATTTGATTCCATCATGACTGACGCTGCGTTATCAATTATTGAACAAATCGGCTTCTGCTTAGTCTCGACTGGCTCGAGTCTTCCTATCGCCCATGACCAGAGAGATTCGGATAATCCTTTACTTTGGAACTCTTCATTTAGAATTATAACACGATATTGTGGTGCCTTAGAACGGTCAACATGTTGTTCCCAAACACTCTGTTGACTGTTTGCTCTTAGAAAAAGGGCTGAGACATTGGGACGGTACAATAAGAGGAACGATAACAAATAGGTACTCCAGATCAATTGAGAAACAAGACAGAAATCCTGAGTACGTCAACTCCAAGAGTACTCCACTACTACTTTCACAACCACTTTGTATGATTCAGGTATTCGCATTGAATATTGTCATCAACAATTATCAACTTCCTCACTAAGTTTTACGGGATTCCAATCATTCGATGGATATGAATATCAGGACGGGTGCGGTTTCATGGAAACTTAAACATATTGTGTATAATATGTAGTCTGATTCAAAATGCAATTATAATGAATCGATGTTGATATTACTATACTACGAAATGTCCAAAAATGAATTGATTTCAACCGCTCACTTTTTCGGGAATAATTGGAACATTTGCTTATTTTGGACCAACTCTGTATATCGTGAGTATCTGCAGATATCATTGAACTATATAGTGGATTTTCACCGGCCACATGGACGAACAAAACGTAGTCGATTTGATTTTGGTATTCAAAAAGGAAACTTCACAATGGCCATTCGAAATTTTGAAAAAGTCAACTTCAGCACCCTGTATAATCCATACTATTGAATTTAGAGCGTTGATTCACCGAAAGCCAATTTCCCCTCTATCTCGGTGCGGGGTCCTTTGCAGTCAGTCAAAAGGATTGCTTACAATGTACCGTGCGTTTATTTTTCAGGACTTGCGTGTCTACGTGCCCTCCTCGAAGTTATTCGGACTCTCAGGAGGTGTGCCAGCCGTGCCACGAGGCGTGCGAAACGTGCACTGGACCGGATCAGAAGAGCTGCACGACGTGCTCGCCGGGTCACGTGAGAGTCATCGATCTCGACATTTGTTTGCAACAATGTCCGGAGGGGTATTACGAGAGTAAGTTACACTCCACTTGTATCGACAAGAGTTTGAAGTGTAGATGGACACTTTTTGCGAGAAGAGAGAGGACAGTGGCGGCTTCTCAGAGGAGGCAACGGAGGCTGAGTCTCCTCAAAGATTTCAATACATCGAATAGTTCAATATACTTGCATAAAATATTACACCAAAATAGCTAACTTACGTTCGTTTCATTGGTTTTATTTTCTGATCCAAGTTGGATTTGAGAATTTGGCAACAATGCTCTTATACTTAAAAGTATTCAGAATAGAATAGAATTTGCGATTTGGCAACGTTTAACGGAAAGCGAGTATATGGTATTTGAACTGATTCCCAAACTTGATGGCAATAAACAGTTGAAAATCGCAATATAAGGTTCTTGTTACATCTTAATCACATCTTATTCTAATTGATGTGGCTATACGAATTCTCTTTGGAATTGATATGGACACTGAATTATCTATCAGAATTTTATTAAATACTATCGAAAATGAACGTATTCACACAATTTCTGTTTTTGTCGTAAATCAGCATACAAACAAACAGGAACCATATAAGTGTCGTCAGTTTTTTCGTAGAATTTCACATTTCCCATTCAGCCTTCCCTGTTGAAAGAAGCACGAGCCGCCACTGGCAAGAGACTGTTATTATTCTCAAAAGAATATCTCCAGTTTTTCAATGAATCGATATTTTGCAGATTTCCTGGAGAAAACATGCATCCCTTGTCAGACAAATTGTGCCGGTTGCCAGGACAGGCCAGATCGTTGCACCAGCTGCGATCATCATTTGTTGCTCTATCAGAATAAATGTCTAGCGTCGTGTCCGATGCACACCTACGAAACAGATGATTACAGGTAAATAAAAGATTTTCCGTGACATATTCATGCTAAGTATCCTAGAACTTGGCAATTTTTATTTATTCATTATTATGTTTTCGAAATGACTTCATGAAAAAGGTATGCAATAGTAAATTCTATATTCATGTTCTCAAAATGTATTTGAAGATTGTCTCAGGATTCCGTACATAAAAAAAAAAAACATAACCATCATTGGACCACTCTTGTGCCTATCTGTCTGATCGCTATGTTCACAATTTCGATTATTTTCTGTGTGGAAACCTCCCTTTCATTCCAAAGACGATAATACTGTTAAGTTAAGTTAAATCGGCAAGCTAACATCTACAAGCGTGCCTCTACTTCGCTGAACTGAGTATAGTAACATTGTTTCTTGTTTTGAGAGTCTCTCTCCTTCAATCTTCAAAAAATAATTCAGTGGTTTCGTTTCACAGCCTAAATTAATACTCAACAAATTCGATCGGACGATGGGTTCACTACTCCACAATATCAATTATTCTCGTTTTGAGATATTTTTTAGGCAACCAATCTTTCTATTGGAAAGAGTACCTACTAGTTTGTGGCAAGACCATCACCATCCCAACTGAATTTATAATTTAGAAGCCCATTTACGATAGAAAATAACACGTCGCCACCGATGGATGTGACCAATAAGCAGGAACAAAAAAACAAATAGGAACCAATAAAAACAAAGTAAACAATCCGCTTCGACAGCTTCCATATACTCCTATAGATGGCGTACGCATATTTTTTATCGCGAATAGATCAAAATGTTGACGAGAAGAGGTTAAATCATATATTTATCTGATTAATCAGCGCATTCATGAGCATAAGATGATTTTTTCGAAAAAGAAAACAATTTCAACATACGCCAACCATATATCAAAGAAAACCATAGTTTTGATGATAATTTCGAAATTCTACACGTAGAAAATGAAGGAATAAAACTCTACTAAGAACAGTCCCATTTAGTAAAACGTATTAAACTTTTAGAAAAATTTGCTCACTGCCTCACAAAGATTATGCTCGAGTTGAAAAATCAAAAACTCGCAAATTATTATCATCATTTGGATATATTATGTAGAGTTGAATGAGTAATTACATGTGGAAATTACGTATGACATTGGCGTATGTCCTCAATATAACCCAAAAAACAACAAATGTCAGAAATCTAGTGTTCATCCCCAGAAATGAATAAAGATGGAACTATATATAACTGTTTCACATACACTTCAGAGTGGGAGGAGACGAGGATCTGTCCGTACTCTGTTAAATGACAAATACGTCAATTTACATCAAGGGACCCTATTTCTACCTAACCTTACCCTAACTCATTCCTCCAAAAAAAAAAACCGACTCGATAATTTCACGCATTGCACCCCTCGATTTCCAGCTGCGGCTCCTGCCAAGAGACCTGCGAAACCTGCTCGGGCGCCAACAGCTCGCAGTGCGTTTCGTGCCCCACGGGCAGGTTCTGGCGCGAGGGCCGCTGCGTCACCGAATGCCCCGCCCACCACTACGCCGACACGCAGCAGAAGGAGTGCGTTGAATGTCCGCCAGGGTGCGGCGAGTGCAACAAGACCACCTGCACCACGTGCCTGGACGATTGGAAGGTGAACGCCAAAGGGCGGTGCGTGTCCAAGGACAGTCAGCGGTGCGACGTCGGTAAGACATCAGACATCTTGCAGCGAATTTCACTGGTGAAACAATTTTGGCACCAGTTTTGTGCCAAAATGTGAACTGTCAATTTTCAAGGGAAAACAACACAACACAAATCACGAGAATGGTCACCGACTCCCCTTGGTATGTTCGCAATACCCAATTGGCTAGGGATATTGAATTGCCTACAAAAAGACAGCTCATTTGTGAGGGAAATGTACAAGTCTTTGAGAAGGCCCATGCACATGCCAACCCTTCAATCAGGGATGCAGTTGATTATGACCCTGCTGAAATTTCAAGATTTAAGCGACCAAGGCTCTCCCTTCTAGATGCGTTTAGTTTTCTAACTCAATAATCCTAAGGGAAGTCTGCACATGTCGGCCTCTTCTATACAATCCTCATCTCCAGTCAGTCAAATTCAAGTCAAAAACTTTTCTAAATAATTTTTTCCAGATTAGTCAATCTTTTGTTTCTGTCTCATTCATTCACAACTATTTGAAAACAAAGTGTATTGCATCAATTTCTAAAAAAGTATCCACAACGACAAGATCTATGAATAAGAAGGCTTAATTGCCCTGGTTCGGAATAGTTACATAGACAGCAGACCATATCAGTTTTCGAACAAGTGAATATCAGCCTTGGACGAGTTAATAACAGTGTATTAAACCCGGGAACCAAATTTATTATTACGAGAACGAATGCACTTAGGAAGTAGAAGGTCGTGTTTATGAGACATAAATAGAATTTATAATGAGCAATATTATTACGTGGATGAATATATGTTTGGAATCTGCATATAAGAATGAGTTCATTATTAGGAACTTGGTGACACTTGGAGAACAGATCAGAACGGCGTGAAGAGATTAACAAAAAAAAATGAAAATAGTGTACAGGGTATTCATAACTGAAGTGAGCTCAGAGTTGAGGTCGAAGTGATCATCCACAGGTAACCAAGTGAATGCCAGATGATTGATGAAAAAAATCTCCAAATATCGAAATCCTCTTTTTGCACTTTATTCTGAGATCACTTCAACTAAACAAAAATGTAATGAATTCTACCTAAATTTATAACAAAATTTTGATATGAAAGAAGAAAAATCTAGAAAAGAATATCTAGTGAAAAAATCGAGCCAGTCAGTAATAATCAGTATTCAGATTCACTTATTCGGTTTCGAAGAGAGGATTGATCACTCCAGTACGATGTTTTTATCTCCGTTCTGTTAGTTGAAAAGTTCTCTCAATGGGCCACGAAAATAATATAATATATTCAATTCATGCAACTTACAGTCTGGACTCAAGACTCGAATTATCTCAAAAGTGTCCACTATCTGTTCGAAAAGTGCCAAGAGTGATTTCCAAAGAGGAAGAGTGTATCGAGTTTTATAGACATGACACACTTATAATTATGACTTTTCGCGAACTGTATATATCGTTTCTGTGACTGTAACAAAGGACAAAGCGATGTGCCCGAAACTTTGATTCCGAAATATAAGCAATTTCAAATTATCAGTGACTGGAGTCTTAGGGTCTACACCACAGTCTGTCTCCTGCCTAAATAATCATGAACCCAGTGATCATGAAAAAGTAACTTTCTAATGTAGTCCAACAAAGAGAAAGTGTGGGGCTTTATAACAGCTCACCAACATCTGATAGGGCTGTGCAATTTTGGAACTTAGCACTTTCATGTTCCCTGAATAAGCTCAAAACCGAGGTAGCATCTGATATTCACCTGTTTAAAGCTGATAGTTGTCGACGAGACACCAATGACAGTTGATAGCTGTGATTTGATGTTTCGTAGATGGTTTGTTGGATACGGATTGTGAATTTTGATTGCTGACAGCTCGGATCAGTAGTATAACCGGGTAGGATTTAATAATTCGGGTTCCCAAACAGAATACACCAACTTCACCAATGGAATTCGCTATCAATCGACCTGAACCTTTCACCAATTGACATTCCTCCACTCTCTTGTGCAGACCAATACTACGACAGCGGCAACTGCAAGCCGTGCCACTCGACGTGCGGATCGTGCGACGGACCGACAGAGGGCGCGTGCATCTCCTGCGCCAATCCGCTGATGTTGCAGGGCACCAAGTGCGTCGGCAGGTGCGACAAGGGCTTCTACAACGAGCGGGACACGCAGCAGTGCGAACCGTGTTTGCACGCGTGCGCCAGGTGTCACGGCAAATCTAATTGCACCGAGTGCAAGGTCGGCTTGCAGGTGAGTGACAGAGATCGAGCTCGAATATATCATGTTGGGACACCTATTCTATTTTGACACGCATTTTCTCGAGAACGGGTTACATCAACGTTGTGAAAAAATTGGCTTAAATGAGAAAGAGTGTTGCACAAAAATTTGTCATCGAAACTACCCCTCAATGAACCACCCCTCAGTACACACCACCATTTTCTTTCAAATTACATCCCCATATTGTTATGGTATGTTTGAGTAGCTTATTAGCTTACGAACATAATGATGTATCACACTCTCCACGAGTACGCCCTAGATATTGTCAAATCAACAACTCAATAGCATATCATTATAATGAATTTTATGCACTAGCGGGCCGTAAAGTGCACTTTACCGCCCGGTTTTGCGGGCGTTAAGTCGCACTTTACCGCCCGCGGGCTCATTATGACCCACGGGCCGTAAAGTCCACTTTACCGCCCGCTGTTTTCAGTTACCTTATATCCACATATCAATTCATGAAAAACCTATGATCATTTTCCTAGATTCTGATATATCCAGCGGTATATCATAAACTTCTTCTTTATTCGATTCCATATCTATCGCTATTATTATTATCACTAATTTTTACTTTTCAGTCAAAGAATGACAATTCAGCTCGTTCATTGGATGTATTGATATAGACAACAACCATCAGCTTGATTGACAACGTCAAAATTAGTTAGGTATATATACTGGGTATGCATATTGTGAAATTCTGAAGAATGAATCTTTTCTAGAGATCAAAGAGTTTTACTATTACGACAATTGCAATATTCGTACGATAATTCTCATATGTAAATCATCTATGAACATTACGCTTCTCTTGATTACTGAATTTATACGCAACAAATCAAATTCGGGGGAATATTAGTTTATCGAAATCTATAGTCATTACTTTTGAGTCAGAAAATAAACCACTAGTGCATAAAATTTTGTATGTATCACGTGCGTGAAATGCGTTTATGGCCTTGAGCGTGTAATGGCCCTCGGCTAGCGCCATCGGGCCATTATTCACGCCACAGGCCATAAACGCCTACTTTACGCCCTTGATACATAAATAACTATTATACACTATTACCAAAAATCTAAAGTCGGAATCAGACGACATCTGAATAACCAATTTGGGGGAAACTGGATTGGAAATTTCGGCCCTATACGATCGCCAGCATGATCCACAGATTCATTCCCCTCAGATTTTTTCCAGTTGGATCATTTAAATCAAGAAGTGTAGGGCATGTACGAAGCCTAAGAATATCGCTGAGTCACAAAACAGCATAATTCGTCAGCTCACAAGCTATTCAAACATACCACAAAAATGAGAGGATGTGATTTGAAAAAAAAATGAGGGGTGTGTGCAAAGGGGTGGTTTATCGAGAGATTGTTTTGATAACTGATTTTACATCAGTTGTCTGATTCATCCTTCAGATTTATGATGATGGTAGGTGAAATTCCTAATATTATATGCTATTGTGAGTTGTTTATCCAGGATTTTTTATGAAGAGTGTTCGAAAGCTAATAAGCTACTCAAACATGCCATAATAATATGGGGGTGTAATTTGAAAAAAAAAAGTTAGTGGTATGTGCTAAAGGGTGGTTTATCAAGGGGTAGTTTTAATGAATAACTCTCGTGCAAAACTCTTTCTCATTTAAGTCAGTTTTTTCAGAACGTTGATAATGTCAAGAAAAAGCGTTTAAAAATAAAGTTGAGACACCCAGAATTGTTCCATACTCATTTATATTTATATAGCGAATATGAGCACTCTATTTTCATAACAAAGAACACAAAGCATGTTTTGTTTGTTTCAACTCCTTTCATGTTTTTGTGAATTCTGCTTCGGTTACTCCAAAATTAAAAATTAGTAATTTGATCGTGATAATTATCATAGTTGAACCTATATTCTCCTAGGAACTAAAGTTCAACTTTAGCTCATAGGAACTAAATATGTTGCCTAGCAACATACCTATTTATGTGCCAGTAATAGAAATGTCAAATCAGGAGCTAATTTTGGTATCAAAATGGACGACTTTTGTGTGAAAAAATAGTTGTACAGGCCGATAATTTTCTGACCGAGTTTTTTTACCAATGGCTGTAAAGAAACGATCCCGATTCGAATAGTATCACTTTGAATGCTTCGCAGCTGCAAAGCGGCGAGTGTCGCACCGCTTGCTCGGCGGGCTTCTACAGCGACAAGGGTGTGTGCTTGCGCTGCTACATGAGCTGCAAGACGTGCAGCGGCCCCGGGCAGGACCAGTGCGTCAGCTGCCCCAACGGCTGGCAGCTGCTGTCGGGCGAGTGCCGGCCCGACTGTCCCGAGCGCTACTACAAGACGGAGTTCGGCTGCCAGAAGTGCCATCAGGGGTGTCGGAATTGCCCGGGTGAGAAGGTTTTCTTATCATTTCCATGATCATTCCACTCATTTCAAAACACCCGTTTTTGATTGGTTGAAATATCAGTGTTGATAATCGAAAACATGAAGTTTTCGTCATTGTATTTCGGCTGTTGACTAGCTTCTATTTTGTATTTCGCCGTCTCATTGGTTGTTTGATCAAAATATAAAATAAAATCACTTACATGACGCAAACTGTTATGGACATAAGTGTCATAATATTTTCATGTTCAGGGATCGTCGTAGACTCTGAATTTTAATTTGTATCGATGAATTTGTTTGATCGCATTTTATAGAAACATTTTTTATATCAACAGTCGAGTCGAGAAACAGGACGCATGAAACATTGCGAGCGAGCCGTGCGGAAGCAAGTCAAAATGTCCTGTCTCTAGTTGCTATCGATATATCGTAGTTGCATAACGCGCCGACTGAAAATGGAAATACGACATGAAATTACTGTTTATTTCAAGAAATAATGAGTTAAATAATCTTTACAAATACAACTAGTTTCATTGATAATTATCGAAAATTCCTACACTTTTTCGAAACAAATTATGTTGCTTGGCAACCACACTCGCCCATGTTGTATTTCATACGATTATTTATAGTCAATGATAGGGTTACCGTAACCATTTCTGACCAATTTCAAGGAAGTAGATGCTATAGGGGTTTTGGGACAAAATTCTACACACTTTCACTTCCGGCCATATTGAACCTTGACAAGAAAATATATCCTCAGAAGCTTCAGAGCGTCCTTCCATTCAAAGTTTATTTATTTCCAGCAGATTTCTAGACCTCAACAATTAGGCAATCCAATGACCTCTCAAACTATACATATTAGTAGAGGATGCTACGTGAGGTCGACCTTCCCCCATCTATTTATTGAATGAAAATTATTAATAAACCGTCAAAAATTTCAAATAAAAAAATAAAAAATGAGGATGTTTTAATACTGTCTGTAGGTTAATCGAGGAGGTGGTACATTCATTTTACTTGGTTCTTTGGGAGCAGAATCGGTCCCGAAACGTCCAAAGATAAGTACAAATTCGATATTTTTTCAATATATCTATATTTCTTTCCTTCAAAAATTTTTTCAAACAAATTGTCACTGACAAGCCACTGGATTTTTCTTTTAGATTACCTGATAGAAAAATTTGTTAAACGCAGTGACATTTTGGGGCAAATCATCTGATTTGTCCCTCTACAAATACATTGAAATAATACGAATACTTTTATTTTATAGAAACGAGGAGAGAAAATCCCAAAGAACCAAGTAAAATGAGGATGTTTTGTTCACTACAAAAATGTCATTATACTACACCATGAATATAAATATTACATTATAAATAATACATTGTAATATGAATAAAAAAAAACTTTCGATTTATAATTATTATTCTATGTCTGACTCATCAGAACCACAATAATTGTGATTATAGATTTCGGTAGATATTTGTCTCGGACCTCTTTGACGCACGTTCAAAATCGCACTAAAAGTTTTTTTTTTAATTTCGACATCCATCATTCAGGACAGACTTTTTGCGGGCAACCCTGTATCATTGTGTTCGTAATAAAACAATTTTCAATCAATCATAGCCTGGCCATGCTAAATTACTTGAACAGATAGGTGAAGGTCGACCTTACTTCGGATCTTAGACTATATGCGCTGGTTGGCACAAAATGAAATTATTTATTTGTGATAACAGGAATTATTTAATTGTTCCAGTAACATCATTCTATCGATTTTTTAAAAGATGCTTACCAGGCACCATATTGATTCTAGCCTGCGTTGGATTGCCTAATTCACTGTATTATCTGATTATACCTCGAAATCACATTGTCATTTATAAGAATCGCGTTTCGAGTAAAACATTTCGGGAGACCAGACGCGTTCCTGTTATCTGAAACCAGCACAATATTAAAGGGTTAAAAAAATCCAGTTATAATGAATGAATGTCTTTATTGTAGGTTGCAAGGCACAAGAAGGAAAAAGGAAAATAAACGTAGAAGCTCTTCTTTTATCGGCACAACCGGTGTCGACTCTACAGATCGTGAACCCATTCAATTTCATAACGGGAATGGCCCTTATTGCCTGCTTGTGTGTCATCATACTTTTCATAACGATTTTCGTCATATTGCAGGTAAGCACAAAACGATCTTATGGTAAAAGCTTGATTCAACGCCTTACATGCAATATTCATTTTATAAGTTTGTCAATAACCTTCTTTGAAAATGTGTTATATTGATACATCACTTTTCAAAATTTCAATAATATGTGTGGGGTATGTACCTGAATATTTCACATAAAAATCAGCTATCCATCTTCATTGGTACCATGTTTTTTGTTACGAGATGATGATGTATCCACTTTGTTTTGATTTTCATAAATCGAAATGTTTCAATAATTATTGTAATCTCAGTATGTTACACATACGGCGTTGTTCTGTTTTTTCATTGGCGTTGTTCTGTTTTTTTATTGTACAATGAAATATTAACCCAGTTGACGATATCCCTTTCCGACAGTATGTCAACTCGGCTAATAGATATTTTTTGATGAACCAGGATTAACATTCTATCATATCATCATTATTTTTTATTATACTCCTTTGAAATCACCTCATTTCCTCTCTATACTAATAATACCTATTATAATCGATAACAAAAAATACATGCCAAACACAGTATTGTCAGCATTGTTTATTCTCTTTCATTCAAATTTATGCCGACAAAATGAACTCAGAAGAAAATCCCGAAATTCTCGATAATATTCTAGAGTAAGCGGCACAAAAGACCGCGAATTTATTACCAGTAAAATCCAGGTCTAGTAGTTCCAAGTTTTTTCATTCTCACAACTGTGAAAATAAAAATATTTCAATTGAAATTCAATTGATAATTTTGCACTCAGCATGCGATGTTTTTTTTTTCAAATTGTTTCTTATTACTCGCGTAATTTTGTCTGAAAAACACGAATTTGATAATGAAAATGTGAACAAAGCATTATTTATTAAGATATTTCACTATGAATTCACACGTATCACCTCCTTTTCCTCCTTTCTTCTGGATCGCATTTAGAACGATTTGTTCTTCTTTTTTCATCATTTCACCATATCACGATGTACTTCAATGACACATTTTTTTATACATGAAAGACAACTAGAAATATGATTCTTTTTGCGATTCATTCATATTTGATGAAAAGAAGGAAGAATATCTTTTGAAATAATGGCGTGAGTAACGTCATCCAAAAGCAATCTGTTGACATTTGACTTCTCGTATTTGGATTGATTATTGATTAAATGGTCGTCATCTGGTATTATTGTTCACTAAATATGGAATACTCGCAATAAAAATTAGACTGTATCATATTTTCTATATAAAAATGTGTCATTGAAGTACATCATGAGTATATAAAGTGTCCAATGACAAAATAAGAAGAGCATGTAGCAGTAAATGCATCCAAGACAGAGGGAAGAAGCAGGCGAAATTTCGAACTTGAAATATCTCGATAAATAGTGGTTTGTTCAAATTATCATCATCAAATTCGTGCTTTTCTGACCAAAATATGTAGGCAACAAAAAAATTTTCCGAAAAAAAAGAACAAGTTCAAAATTACCATTATATTTTCATTTTCAACGAAGTGTAATGTATCGTTCATTACATGTTCAGAAATGATTTTTCCAGACTCATAATGAAATATACTATTTTTGTTGTTTCAGAGAGGGGGATTTCCGGCTAACCAACGGGCCTACAGCAAAGTGTCAATAACGAAACCAAAAGTAACGTGCAATTACAATGTCGTGACGGTCAGTGACGGAGACTCTAGCGATTCCGATAGTTCCGAAGGGCGCAAGTTGATTACGCCCAAACCCGAACGGACTGCTTGTTGAATCAACATATTGTGAGTTTAGGAATGAATTTCGAAGCTATAGTGTAAATATTTTATATTATAATACTGTCTTCATTGTGTGAATGTTGTACAATGTACAGGATGTTTCCATGTAAGTACGTGTAGAGAATTTAGTGCCATGTCCCTTGACTTATATCGAAACATCGTTGAGATAATGGTGTGTCAACGGGTTCGGAGGAACTCAATCACACTTGGTTGTCTCTTCTAAGGCCATCTGTGTCATTTCCGATCTGAATGAAGTATCGAAGATATTGTTGTTTAAGGAACTCAATGAGTCATGGGATGTATATTTTCTACAAATATTCGGAACACCCTATATACAAGTCGAGTCGAGATGCAGCAAGGAAAATTCTCGAAACAATGGAATATCTATTATGTTCGATGCAAAATCTAATTTAATTAAATTCAACCGCAATATCCGTGATAGCGGGATCCAGAATACATTATTTACAATGCTATTTCCCATCCATTGTTTTGTGGTTTTCACACTCGCGCTCGTCAGTTTATGTAATGTCAAGTAGAAGTGTATGTTATAGGTACGTCTCTACCAACATCATTATTTTACCACACATACCCATCGGCGAAACATGATAATGATTACCATGATAGCAAAATCTCATATTTTTTCTAGTATCGATGAAGACAGGTCAATGTAAAAAATATTAATTATTGAAATGCGAAACTCAAGTGCTCTTGATCATTCATGTCGTGAATATATTGATAGTTATTTTAAAATGTACACACTGTATATAATCGGATAACTGTCATTTGTGAAATTCAACATTATATCTATAATAATAATAATAATAATTCTACATACACAGTTGATATTGGACGTTTTTTGTGATACAGGTGGTCCAAAGTTCTTGTCGTCGTCGTGAACATTATCACTATCCAACTTGTAATTATCTGATTCAAACATTTTTGTTCCTGATGCACAGTATTGTAATACTGCCTACCATAGTCAAATATACGTATACTCATTTATAATCGAATATCAAAATTTATACTGTGTTCCGCATATTGAATGTCTGTATAAACAAGATGAGAATGAAGGGTGTCGATAAAACGCCTAATATGTGAACCAAAAATGTTTTAGATATTAAACAATTATCCTTCTTTACATTATAATTGAATTGATTTAGGATATTTTCAATAAATTTATTTTCAATATATTTTGTTTCCATTTCCCATGCCATCCACTTGAAAAATTTTTCATTTAAATTCACAATAACATATTCTGATCAGACAGGATAATAATAACGATTGAATTAATGAAATAAAAATATATTTCATGATTATTATTCAGCCGAGAATGCAATAAATATGATTTTGCGGAAGCAGGATATTCATATAACTCAATATATTCTGAATTGTTTTGAACATATCTCCATAACGTGTCGTCCATTGCGCCCAAAGAGTAATTATTACAAAAATTGAAAAGTATAATAGACTCACCAATTAAGAACTCAGCAAGTGTGCCACTTCTATGGGACTGCTAGCAAACTGCAACAAAATATGATATTCAGATTGAGTGGCGTTTATTTTCATCGGAATCTCTTGCATAAAAATATGCTCGCATGGCATTCTGTAGGCTCAGATAATGTTAACGTGGCAAATATACTACCTTTATACATACCAAGTGACCAATTTGAAAGCAGGACAACCTCCAGAATCGTTATTAGCGATTTCTTTGTAAAAATCCACGCACACCACTGATCATCATCTGAAATGAATCTGTACCAAGTTTCATGAAAAAATATTCAACATTAACGAATCTACAGCGTGTATCATTTCAAACAGATACCCCTCTATATCTCAGATATTAGTCGTGCGATCTTTACCATCAATAGGATCAGTTTTTCAGAGACATACATCCTTTTGGAAAGTGCCGTGCGAGACAATTTTGTTTGAAATCATATTTGGAATTTCTTACAGGAAAATTGACCTCATGATATTATTCTTCTTGGTTTCAAATGAAAAAAAATTAAGCCAATTCTGTTAATTTGGAATGATGTCATTTTTTGGGGAAAAAATTCCTAATGTGATTTCATAAAAATCGACTCCTTTCAATTTCAATAAAACAGCACGTCACTGTCCAACAGGATGCTCTGCTAAATAATTATTACGTTCGCAGAAATGCTGTTCAGATGTGCCTGTTTTTTTTATCCTTTCATAGGAAAACCACCAAGAAGAACAATATTATGATGTCAGTGTTCCTGTAAATATGAAAAATTAGCCACTTCTTATTCAAATAAAAATGCACGGCACTGTCCAAAAGGATGTAAAAAACTGATGATATTGAAGGCTTTTCATACCGGTCCCAATTTGGTAAAGATCGCACTTCGATTACCTGAGATTGAGATGTTTATAATCCCTCTGAGATACAGAGAAGGGGACGTTTGAATTGAGACACGCTGTAAATTCGTTTATGTTGGATATTTCCTCATAAAACATAGTACAGACTGTGGTACAGATCTATTTCTGAGGACACCAAATCCAGTGGTGTACTTACGTGTTTTTTTTCAGATCGCTGGCGTGGCTTTGCTCAAAAATACACTTTTCCCCCTATACATTATCGTGAAAATCGCTCCATAAATAAAAAAACATATGAGGGTGGCCCGCTTTCAAATGGGTCACTCTGTATATGTAATAACTAAATAGCTGACATTATTTGTCGCTATATCCAAAGAAGTATATCAATGTTTCAGTTTTTGACTAAAATGAAAATGAAATATCAGCAGGTACATCAACAAAATTGTTCGTTTTTCACTAAAAATAACAGAGGTGTTTTGCCATACTATTTAACTACTAATGTATATGAATTACTGAATGAAAATTTCAATGGAAACATGAAAGCCTGACAAAAAATGTCGACTCTGCATGTAAATGAAACAAGAACACCATATACGGTCGGTTTGTTATAATCATAATTGAAATTGAAATCCAAATTCAATTCACAGAGGAGTGATAATTATTCCGGGGCTATTCCCCATTCACAATTTTAATCCCTAGAAGACTAACAGTTAATTGTTTTTGTTTGTTGTACTACGCTTTGACGTTAATCATTCCATTCATGGCGCGGCCGCAATCATAATTAAAATTCGTTGGAATAATGGCAATAATGGTCAGTATGAATTACCAGAATGTACAAGAGATAATTTTGTCTTTGATTAGACCGGGCTTTGAAAACGAAAAATAGAAAGCCACTATGGAATGAATTCAGAATTATCCGATATGATCTGAGTGAATAAAAAATAGCAGGTGAGTGAATTTTTTAGTTGTAAAATAACAGTAGGAGAGCTGGCTGCAGATTCCTACCGTCATCTGATAACGAAATGATATATGTCCCAAAATGATGTAAAAACAATGTAGTTCAAAGAACGGCATCACCTGTGCCAATCACTATCCCGAGCAAAATAATTAAAAAATAGCAGTTTCCTGTGCGGAAATTTGCACTCTATTCCTCGATTTGATAACGAGACAAGATTTAAGCCATTCGATACCAATTTGATGGTAGATCTCAAAAACCTGCCTGTCCTACCCCTCAGTCTGAGCCGAATCCACGGCACAGCGATTTATTTGCTCCTGTTATTCCGGACATACTTCCGTCATGTGATATCGAGTTGGAAAAAAATTGAAGGGAAAAATGGCTCTCTTGCGAATATCCAAACGTGACACGATTCAAATTGATCTAAGTTAGTGGCCCTCGTCGAAAGATAATATCCGGAGGACCAGTGTGAAACTCATGTCATGTTCACACTACAAGTATTCTAATCCACATGTTGGGTTTAACATTGGTCCATCGGATATTATCTTTGGAAGGAGGCGAAATATTCTGAGAAGTATTGAAGCTCTTTCAATAACTAAGATCAGTTTGAATCGCGGCACGTTTGAACGCAACGGCGACATCATCCCCTTTCATTTGCTCCTTGTTTCATCTCGATATCACATGACGAAATTATGTCCGGAATAATATAGGAGCAAATAAATCGCTGTGGCGTGGCTTTTGAAATCTACCATTCAATATTGTTATCGGATAGCGCAATTCTTATCACGTTATCAAATCGTGAAATCAAGTGCAAGTTACCGCACAGGAAAGGATTTTTTTTTTTCATTTTGCTCAGGAATGTGAATGCCTTTGGGACATAATGATATATCAGATGACGGTTGAAATTTGCGGCTCTTGGACTGTTGGGCATGTGATGATTTTTGAAATACACTGTATTTGAGCATATGAATTCAGAGATTCTAATAATTGGTGTGAGGGTCGGTATAATTTCCATAAAAATCGATTGTTGGATATGGTAGAATGAAGCAAAAAAACTCAGTAGCCTCCTCAGCATGGAATTTACTCGCACTATCATCGAATATGATAATCGAAATTGAAATAATTACACTCGAAGAATATATTTGATGAAATGGCGGAGGCGCGTGATAAACCACAAATTATATTTTAGGCAGAAATTAGTAAAAAATTCAATGAGATGTCGTATAATAAATTTGCATAATATGAGAATCGAATGCAAGAATTCTAATAAATGGTCGCAGCGCTAGATATATCTGAATAATGAATCAATTAATGGATATTCTGAATCAAAAAAGAGCAAAAAAATCAGTAGCCACCAAATCATGGAATTAGTGGATTTTGCGAATCAAGAAAAAGCAAAAAAATCAGCATTCATCAAATCATAGAATATAATAACATCGACTATGATCACAGACAGTATTCATGACCAATGAATGTGAAATAGATGAACTGAATGAGACCATTTGAAGAATTGGCGAAAGCGCATAAACCACAAATTCAAATAAGATAGTCATGAAAGTGACTACTACAGAATGAAAACATACCTAATTGTGGTAGGAGACATGGATAAAAACCTGAATAGATGTAGAATAATGTATCACAATTTCTAAAAATCACTTGCTACAACATGGAAGTTCCAATACTTAATTGCATTGAAATATCCAACACCT